AGCTCACTTTGTAGCCAGGCTGGTCTCGAACTCCCAAGGATCCTGCTGCCTCAGCCTCCCGAGTGCTGGGATTATAGGCGTGCACCACCATGCCTGGTTTAAGAAAACTCCTGCTTGTCTGTTTGTTTGTGTTTTGAGCCTCTCCGACATTGTTCTCAGAAAGTTCTTCATGGGCAGGGCAGCAGGGGGCTGAATGTGTTTGGTAAACTGAGGCATGAGCGGTACCTCTGCTCCAGAGACCTGGGTGTTTGTGGGCATCTGCAGCAGTACCTTACTCCCGGTTGCAGGCCGAGGGCTGCGGCCCACACCACTCTCCCGTGGAGTTGGTTCCTGGCAGGGAGACTGGTAGAGAGGTGTAGAGGGAGTGTCTGCCCTGAATCCCGACGTTGTGGCTCAAACCCATTCCTTTTGTCTTGCTCTGCAGGTCCCAGGGGCAGGGTGACTTGGACGGGTCAAGCAGGAGAAGCCCATCCCTGCCCGGCTGGCACCTGTGCTGACCCCGGGGCCTCTGTAGCTGAGGACCCTCTTCCTCTGTCTCCCTCATTCTCTCCCTCTTCTGGAGTCTCAGGCTCTCCCTTTCCCTCCCGTCCCTTTCTTACTCTCGGGACCCAGTTTCCAGTCATGGCTGGTGGCGTTTCCTTGCCTCCATGTTTAAGTTAGACATAGATGAAAGGAAAGTCAGAGCTCAAGAAACTGCCTGTAAAGTATCATTATTCACAGATGACATGATACTACACACAGAATGACCCCAAAACTCCACTGAAACAACATCTAGATTTAATAACCAAATTCAGTCCCGTCTCTGGACACAAAGCCACTGCTCAGAAGTCATTAGCATTCCTGTACATGAGTAACAAACTCACTGAGAGAGAAATTAGGGGAACCATGACTTTTGTAATAGCATTGAAAAAAATGAAGCACCTACAAATCAGTCTGACAGAGGAAGTAAAAGATCTTTACATTGAAAACTACAGGGGCTGGGGATTTAGCTCAGTGGCACAGCGCCTGCCTGGCAAGCGCAAGGTTGTGAATTCAATTCCCGGTACCAGGAAAAAAACAACAACAAAAAGAAAACTATAGTACTCTGAAAAAGGACATCAAAGAAGATATCAGAAAATGGAAAGATATCCCCTGCTCATGGATAGGAAGAAACAACACAGTGAAAATGTCAATAACAATACCAAATACCAAAACTGTTACACAGGTGTAATGCAGTTCCAGCAGCATACCTCACTGAATTGAGAAAAGGATCCAAAAATTCATTTGGAACCAGAAGAGACCTAGAATAGCAAAAACAATTCTGGGAAACAAAGGCAAAACAAGGGGCCTCACCATTCCTGAATTTAAATCATACCACAAAGCTACTGGGATAAAAACAGCATGACACTGCCCAAAAAACCAAAACCTAGACCTTAGGATCAATGGAACAGATTAGATGCAAAAGCAACTCCAGGCAAACTCAGCCATTTTATCTTCTACAAGACAGCCTCCTTCATAAATGGTGCTGGAAAAACTGGCTTTCCACACGCCAAAGACAAAAACTAGATCCATGTCTCTCACCATGAACTAAACTAAATTCAAAATGGATCAAAGATCTAAATATCAAAACAGAAACACTAAATCTGCTGGAAGACAGGCTCAGCAGAACTCTTGAAGACATAGGTGTAGGCAAAGACTTTATGGACAAAACCCAGACCGCAAGGGAAATATTACAAAGAATCAACAAACGGGATCTCATCTTATTAAAAAGCTTTTGTAGAGCAAAATAAATCACCAACAGAGTGAAGAGACAATACACAGAGCAGGAAACACTTTTGCCAGCTGTTCCTTGGACAAAGTAGTAATAACTAGAATATATAAAGAACTCAAAAAAATCAGCCCCTCCCAAATGTAAAGACCCGATCCAAAAATGGGCATCTGAAGTGAACAGACACTTCTCAGATGAAGAAGTAGAAACGACAAATAAGTATGTGAAAAAATGCTCAGCATCACTGGTCATTCGAGAAATGCAAATTAAAGCAATGCTGAGATTCCATTTCACTCCCGAAAGGATGACTGTCATCAAGAGATCAACTGGCAACAAATGGGGGGAGGGATGCTTCTCCTTCTCCACTGTTGGTGGGAGTGTAGACTGGTGCAACCACTGTGGAAATCAGTGGGGGGATTCCTCAAAACACTACGATTAGAGGTCCCATTGGACCCAGCTATTACACTTCCTGGTATCTTCCCAAAACAATTAAAAGTATCATGCCACGGTGATATATGTGCACCCATGTTTATAGGAGCACAGTTTGTAATAGCTAAATCATGGAAACAACCCAAATGCCCATCAACCAATGAATGGATAAAGAAGATGTGATTTTTTTTTATACAGTGGAGTACTACCCAGACATAAAGGAGGAAAACTTGAGACATTTCTAGGTAAATGGATGCACCTTGAGATCATGTTTTAAGTGAAACAAATTGAACACACATGTGTAGATATCACATTGTCTCTGTGGTGTGAGAAACCAAAATTGTAAATAAAGTCCAGAATGTATATTAGATATTATGAAATAGAAAAAAATGCTCAATCGGGAAGGGGAACAATGCTGGAGGAAGGGGGAAAAGAAGGAAGGGAAAAGAAAAAATGAAGGAAAAACAGAAACAGAACTTTTGTAAATGAGGAGGGGAAGAAGGATGGGGGGAAAAAGAATTAACTGAAATAAATCACGTACAAGTACAAAGGCCCTATGATGAAAGTGATCATTATGTATATTATAAATGTACTAATAAACTTAATAAGAAAAAATATTAAACATGACACGAAGAAGCAATTCTATACACAGCACAGAGCAAACTTTACACAACAAAAATAAAAATGGCAAGAAAAGTTACTGAATTAAAATATACTATTTTCATATTAACCATGCTTATCACTGGAGAAAAGTGATACAAATGTTATATTCTGTATCTTCCAAAAACTGCTTTTGTTGACATCTATTAAAAGGGAGAAACGAGATTAAAAAAGAAAGCAGCAAAAGGAAAGGTGGAAAGTTCAAAGAAAGCAGGACAAGAGTTGGAGAACCTCACCCTGCTCTTCAGCAATAATGCCGAGTTGTGCACCCCTCCTCCACACCTAGCACTGGGCTCAGCAACAGTGACACCCACCCCTCATCCGCTCGTCACAGCTGGAGGAGCGTCCTTCCCTTCCCTGAAATCATTCCCATCACAAGGGTGCAAAACCTGAGGGCAAGAACTACCAAAATTCCCTGAGCTCCTTCACTGACCCCAGGACCTAGGAGAAGGGAGAAAGGTCCCAACCTTTTGCAGCGCTGTGTTTTCATGAGAAAAGATCCTGTGTTTTCATGAGAGAGCTCCTGCTTGGTACTAGAAATCTGAAAATGTTTCTGCAAACACGTACAAAGGAGAAAATTTATAAAGGTGCGTTATGCGCTCGTACCAACCCCCCACAAATGAACGCAATCACTGCATACTGCAAAGGCGGGCCGACAAAAACGAACTTTAAAAAAGCACATCAAGTCAAAGATAAATCCTATTTTGCAAACCTCCCCCCACCCGGACTTTTCTGCTCTATTTTCCTTTCTAAGAAGTTTGAAATGACCCCCTTTGTCTTGTTTTAAACGGCCTTAAGAAGATAATTAACAGTATGTCAAGAATACTGCCCCATGTTATTAAAATTTCTCCAGAGCACTTACTCTGTAGTACCATACTGACACATATATATTATACCACTAGTGATATAGTTATTCCACTGCTTTTCTCTTGTTGAGAATCGGTTGCTTTCGCTTGTCCCTGGTGCACACGGACAGTGTGGTACACGGTCTGTACTCTTTGGGGCCACGGCCGCCGAGTTTGTCACACGGAGGTGACCCGTCTGTCGCAGAGTCACTCTGCATTTTCTGGTTGCTCGGTCATCTGTCACAATGACCTCTGTGGCTCGACTAGGCCGAGGGACCCGACGCGTGACCCTCACGCAGCGGGCCTCGGGTGTGACTGTCAGACCAAGGGCCGGCGCCAGCAGCGGGGCAGGACGGGAAAGGGCTGGCACGCTGTGGGAGGCTGAGGGGTGAGGAGTTCTCAGCGCAGCGGCTGCTGTGCCTCCAACCCTCGCCCTAGTCAGAGACATTTTCACGTTACTTTTTCCCCTACTGTGCCGAAGAGATTTCTGTTCTAAATTTAGTCCAATTTAGCGAATCAAAACACAATTAAATTTGAATTTCAGATAAACAAATACCTTTAGGTGTATTTCGCGCAATAGCTGTA